TATAATATAATAATATATATATATATATATATATATATATATATATATATATATATATATACCGCTCAATATACAGTACCATATCGTACCGAGAGAAGATCGAAACTCCGGTACGGTACGATATTTCAATCCTTGCGTGTTACTATTTTACAAAATTACTATTTCGATAAATATGAAATTCATAAATGAAAAAGAAATAATTAATGATCGGTTCACCATTATCCTATTGTTTGTGTGTGTTCCTTAAAAAAAATTGTCCATTTTATTTTTTAACGTCTCAGATAAAGGATGTAGAAACACATAGAAATTGTTGAAAGAAATATAGCTCCAATCCCTTCAGAAATGGTAAGATATTTGGTGCAAGAAGGGGTGATCCATATCTTCTTGACTGTAAATATTACAGACCAAGTATCTTCATTCTAAAGCACCATGATATTCAGCCAGTGGGTTTAAGGCTTCAACTATCAATATAATACTAGTTTAAACTCTCCCAACTTTTGCATTTGACAAACACCTTTGCAAAATGTTACACTTGTCGATATTTCAGATAAGCAATTAGTCACTTGGTGTTAAAAAAAAATTAATTAATGATGATCATAACTCATGAGCATTAATGTAGCAGACAAATGGGAAAAAAAAAAAATCATCTCACCTGCAACATTAGGTTTGCAGGCCCCTCATTTGCCATGTATGGAAACTTTCCAGTACCACATTCTAGTATGGTTAATCCAAGACTCCAAATGTCAGCAGCATAGGAATAGCTCTCATTTCGAATTCTCTCAGGTGACATATATGTGACTGTGCCAACAAATGTGGCACACTGACAAAGAAACAGACTTTACATTATGTACTCTTCTCAAGTTCCATTCCAAAGATGTTATGTAGAAACAAGAAAATTTTTAGCAAAAGTTCCAAAAAAAAGTAGGTACCAATCAAAGTAATAACGTCATGATCACCAACAATGAATTACGGATCACGTACCATAGCCACTGAATTATCTAAACCAGCACTGACACCAAAGTCAGTAATCTTTGTCTCTCCTTTGAGATTTATAAGCAAATTGGCTGGCTTTAGATCTCTATGCACCAGACGTCTTACTCCATGCAAGTAGCTTAGACCCTTTAAATTGGAAATATCTAGGAGATCATCCATCAGGAACAAGAAGTACTACACTATCAAATGGTTAAGATAATCAGATCAACAATTGAAGCAACAGATCCTTACATGCAACAGTTTCTGAACCATACATGAAAGGACAGCCTCCGGTATAAGTTTCTGAAGCCTCAGTATATCTGCAAGTGAACCCCCATCCACATACTCCAGGGCAATGCTGATTTGTCCAGATTCGGGGGTATAGAATGCACCATGAAATTCAACTAAGCCAGGATAACATGATGCCTCACATAGGGTTCTTATCTCGTTAAGAAGCTGTTGTCTTTTTTCCTTCAAAGTGAAAGAAAACATGTAAAAATAATAAGTGTGATGTGCCTATCAACTTCCAGAATGTTCATAAGAGAAAAATATGATAAGTAAATTGAAATTGTACATATTATCAAAGGAATGAATGAGCTCTCATGGAAATTCCTGAAAAGATGATTTCCTATAATATAATAAGAAAACAATCAAACTCCTTGCCCTGTGAGGACATCAAAGCTCTACAACTTTCGGATCTTTCTTCAGTGGGTAGAAAGAAAAATAGGAAACTCAATATGGTAAATTCCATAATTAAGGGGCAGTTCTCATGTGGTCTGAGATATTGTTTCAGATAGCAAATTCTTTTATATGACCTTACCCTTGTTAGTTCTCGAAAATGTATTTAGGTAGAGTAGCTGATTGGACATTTATATTATGTTGCAAACTGCACAATAGACTCTAATTACCAAATATAGCCATAGAATAACAGAGATGAAAGAGAAGGGACAAACTTGTTCATATGAATGCACTTCTGACCAGTTAAGACCTTCAATGGTGGTGAGGGGTTGCACCATCAAACAATAGGCTCGTCAAGTAACCACCTTCGGAACATGTCACGCTAACCCACTGATTGAGCACAATTCCATTGGACAGTAGTTTTGGAACATATATTGTGATTGTACATTCATAAACCAAACAAGGGCAATGACTTTTAAGGATTTACCTGGAAAGCATACAAAGTATCTTCCTTTGCCAAAGTGAATAGCATTAAGTTGTCCCCGACAAATGAGAAAGAAAGAAGGTTGAGTTTCTGATCATTGTACAAAATGACAGTGAACATCCAAAGTCCAGTTTTTTCACACCATAGAGAACTGATCATGATGGTTTATCACAACATATATATAGGAAGTTACATACCCATCATAAGAGAATTGTTCTTGTACAAGTCCCAGATAACCTCAATCTAACTAACGAGTGATAGTATGACTGCATGAATGCTTTAACTTTGAGAGTTTGCTCTGACGTTTTTCTGAGGAGACAAATAAGTTGGCCACATCTTTAATAATACAGTATTGACTTAAGACTACAGTGAGAAAATTATCTGTTGCTAGAATGATTGGACGGTAGAAAATTGAGACATACAGAGAGCAACAGGGATAAGTTGAAGTCCTCAGGTAATCATGTACAATAATCTCTGTTTTTTTTCTATTTTTAGACCAACAAGTAATCAATGGCTAGATTGTAACTGAATAATACTATAATTCCTACACTTAGAACAGTAAGATAAACTGGCCACAGCACACTAATTCCTCTGCCAAAAATCCATTTTAGGGCATCGACTTTGGAAGGATTTTACCAGGAAAAGAAGCAGACCATCTGGTCGATATTTCTAGTATTATCAATAAGAAGTTCATGTCTATAGAATTACAAATAGAACAGTAAGCCTTGATCCTAAATCTGCATCAGAAATTGAAATCTAATCTAACAAGTTAGAAACTAACCAAAGCTTCACTTGATCCTTAGGTCTTCACAACTACCTAGTGGAGTCCATTCAACAAACTGCAACATCACTTTCTCATATAAATCATCTGTTGGATTACTTTAGATTAGATATTTATGTGTAAAGAGAGCACAGATGAACCTATTGCAGCAAGAACAGTGTGAAAACATAATGCAAAATGAAGCAGAAGTCATTCTGTCCTATTTTAGGCTTTGTAATAATTTGTTTGTTTAAGTTTCTTTTTGGAAATATATACCTTATCACATGCCAATATCATATACAATTCCACATCATCCACCATGATTGTCTAAAGAGAAGAAAAGGGAATGAAGCTAAAAAAGGATGGATTCGGCAAATGTGTTTGATTGAAGATGATTAAGAAAACTAATCTCAGAAAAAGAACTTGTAAATAATAGGCAAAAATAAAAGTGAAAGACTCCAAAAATAACATGAGATGATTGATCTAAATAATCCTGATTAAAAAATTTAGAACCTTTTTATTTATATTTCCCTATTTTCTTCTTCATGAGTGAGTGGTGTGAGATCACGTTCTTTTCCTAGAATGTGATTCCATTGTCCATGCTTGGATCATATGGCGTGAAGGTATAGGAGTCAAAGTACAGTTTGAGCAATATCTTCTCTCCCTTTTTACTCTTACACCCTTATCAAATTAAAAAAAAATTGTTTTAGCTCTAAGAGTCCCCTCTAGCTCTTATCCTACATCACAGCATTTAAACTGAAGAAGGGTAAAAGATTAATCACTATTACCCACAAAGGTTCCAATATCATGTTACACTGATTTAAACTTTCCGTTATTGTGATAGGATGGATGAATAAATACATTTATGCCTAGGAGAAGAAAATAATCCATTGGACCTATTAAATAACATCAGGAGAGAACAAAAACCTAAGGATCAGATGGTATATACTTGTCTGAACAATCATGAGTACACCTCAACAAGAAAAAAGAAATTTATTTAAACTAAATATATGTGGTAAAACTTTGTAGTTTGTACCAGTACCCACAAAATCAAATTGGTACCTCATGTATCATGAAAAATTTGTTCAATGAAAAATGGAACTGGAAGTAAATAGTTTATATTGGATAATGAAAAAGCAATTCCACTTAAAACAAAACAAGCAAGGGGTTCCCTGTTGATTAGCAATAGAGACATAGCCCCTAAACAATTGTTCAGGGCTAGGATTTTGCAATCTACACATTTATCAAATGCAAAAAATAATGTTGTCGTATGATTTGTATCACCATCAAGCATTAGGAAGCAAAATAAGCATGGAGGTAAACCTTTTCAAATACATTTATCTTCTTCAACGCCATAATCCGATGAATTGGTATTTTAACAGCTCTTTGGACCACACTGCTTGCTCCGCAACCTATGGTTCCAAAAACATGCATTTCATGTGAAGCACAACAGTATGTCTTTTCACCAATTTCAGCTTCATCTCCTATCACAGCTGGATGTTTTTGCAATCCAAGCTCATTAATATTGTACACTCCATAAGATCTGCTCAATAAGTTAACAGTTCCACCATCTGAAACCTTCAAAAAACCGAAAGTCAATATAGTCTTCAATGCAAACATAAAAGCAAGCCATACAAAACCTGAATATGTAATTTCATACAAGGATTTTTGCTCTAATCGTACATGTCTTCATGGGTCAAAACATACAATTTCAACTTCTGTCATAGGTAGATATGGCTAGGCATATTTTAGCCTATGCTGACCTCCACATGGGAGTGTTGACTGGCCCAACATTGATTGGTAGCATTCTAGGAAGATATCCACATAACATCATGACATGATATAACAATGAACAATCCTTCATTTTAATCATGCATAAGAAGCTTCATAAATGAAATGTAATAGCTAACAAACTTGACGAAGGAAAAACTGACAATCCCAACAAGTCCATCACCACATAAAAGACATAATACATACATGAATGGAAGTCATCTGTAGGTTACCAGCTTGAACTTCTAAAGCAACACTCAGATGAACTCCCAATACATTAACAACTGAAAACCTCAACAAAGATCAAGATCTAGAAAAGAATTCGATAATGAAGCAACCTATAGAACGTGGGGGACACAAGAGTAAATGGTGATGAATAACTCCATAGATAAGTAGCTATCTGTAGGCATTAAGTCATGGTATAGGTTCATCTGCTGTCTAAGTCTCAGAACTCTATAGCTCCTAAATTTTTTTTTTACAAGAGCTCAGTAATACCTTATATCATTCCATGTCAACACAAACAGACTATGAAGACCAGTAGATATAGATCACAAAAAAGTAAGACAAAATTGGTGTTCTAAGCATGATTTGCCTTACTGATCCACACCGGTGTACCAATCGATCATTGGTATGGTACATACCATACCATAGCGACGTACTAACACATGGTATGATGAGACATAACAACAAACCGGTATGTATGTACCGATCCTCCATCGGATCAATATGTACCACCCATATCGGACGATACGTCGTGGTATGACAAACCTTGGTTCTAAGTAAGAAGAACTTTCCTATGGAAAACTAACTAGTAAAATTTTGCAATTCCAAGAATATAAAGAGACTTATCTATGTGGTTGATGGACTACGTATAAAGGATAAGCTTATTGTGTGCTTTTTTCCATAAAACAGAAGCAAGTTATTTAAACACATACGAGAAAGCATCGAAAGCTACCATTAAAAAAGTCAATGAGAAAAAAAAATCCACAAAGGTTATAGCTACAACTAGGAACCCAAAACCATTAACGCTTCAATTCATACTAGAAATATAATGTAGCAAGTGGCTGAGAATCAAGAACTTTGGCTAAGGGATCAAGAACTGCTTTCCATGCTTTTTAATCTTAAAGATCACCCTACCTTGGGAACGTTATTTCTAGGTCCTGAAAATTATTTATTTTTGTTGTTGACAAGGAGAGACAACAATTCAAAAGAACCTCACCAAGTTGTCCTTGTCATCTAATACAAGTAACATGTTGTTTTTGAAGATCTATTGAAATCTCCTTGTTACTACAGTAGCCTGTCGTGATGCATTGCAATATGAACTTTCAGCACTAACCACCTCAGGAATGTATCATATTAAATGCAAATTAAAGCTGTCCTTTGGGCCTAGGTTGATCAAAGCTTTTTAGGTTGAGTTAAAGTCATGATTCTTATTTTATCTTTTTATCAAAGTTTCATCCTTATTATATTTATTGCTTCACAGAGCATTTGGTTCCACATAAAAGTTGTAGACTTATTTTGAAGTCCTCATTCTGGAATAGTTTTGGTTGGAAAAGTTCCCAAGTACTTAAGAATCAAGTCTTAGAGGGCACATATATCTCCTTGCATATTTCTGAAGGGCTTAAGAATTCTTTTTTATTTTTTGGAACTTTCAATGATATTAAGATCCTGTAGACTACAGAAAAAGTTGTCCCTTCAGATGTAATATAGACTTTGACTAATATTTACAAGAAGTATTGAAGGAGGATTTTCTTATTTGCATAAGGTTTGAGGCCATTCAGTATTTTCTTAGATGCATGAAATTTATCAATTTAGAGCATGTCTAGTCCCTATATCTTTAGTCTTTTCAATCACTTAAAACTTATAAGTTGCATTTTGCCCACCTCTGTTCAAGGATATTTGCACATTCCTCACCTACATTTGGATTTATTCAGTTCCCTGGTTTTACCTTTCCGTTAGCACTTCACATTTGAAAAAGATGGAAGCATCCTTGGGAAGAGGTGAATTCTAATAATAAACAGATTCCATCATTTGCCAACATTTTTTTTCCTTATTATGATATGCAAACAAAAAAGCAGGCAGACAAAATACAGGTGGAGAAAGTGCAATTCCCCTTTACTTGTCAAAATTTTAGCAAATTAACTATAACATTCTGATATAGAGTTTATAAAAATCTCTTTCCTGCTGTTGAACTTTACATGATAAGTCTAATTCTTTACAAAAAGCCTCCAGTTGCACTGCTGACGTCCCAGTTCAACCCAATATTTTATAACAAAAGCTTTTCAATCTAACTTTGCATGTTGCTGTCAAATTTCAATTTCTAGCATCCTTATTCTTTCTTTTACTTGGAGATCTAAGACTATAGTCTTTTAAAAGCCTTGATAAACTGTGTCCCGTGGAACATATTTCATTAGATTGGCATTAAGGTTTTCTTTTCAAATACTTACAATTAGGAGTATGAACATGTACCTATGGAACTACATACTCATGTAAGAACATTTGTAAATTTAATCAATGTAAGACTCAATGTATACCCACTCAAATGCTCTAAGTCAAGATGAGAGACATCAATCGAAATCCAATAAAAAGAATAATAAGTTAAATTATCGTTAATTCTGGTTAACTTGACATTCTATCTTAAAATTTTGCTTCTCAAAGAGACTCAAGAAATAACCAATCAAATTTACACTTACCATATATGAATCACAAGGATCCATAGACATTCCAAATGATGGGTCATTTTCCAAATCAAATAAGGGCTCCAACTTCTTTTTCAGCTCCTCTAAACCAGCCATAAGAACTCCTTATCACTCTGATCTAAATTTAAGATTAAGAGCAGAATCAAGATAATGACTGGGAGAATGCATGTATAAAAATAATCAGCTTCAAAAGAAAGATCATCAATAAAGGTAAATGGGGGAAACAAAATATGGCTACTATGCCTTTTTGCAGAGGTCAAATAAATCTCATACACAGACCAAATTTCTTCAGAAAGGCATACTAAAACATTGAATCTTAGTTCTCTTACACATACCAACATTATTTTTATACTTAGTTCTCTTACACATACCAACATTATTTTTATACACAGACCAACATTATGTCACTCATGATATATATCAAAACTCGTGCTCTTCGATGCCATGTCTCCCTGAGCCTTTGAAGTCACACATAGAATCAAAAACTAAGTATCATCTTTTTAAGGCTTAAAAGTTCAACCTTAACTGCGCTCATCATCTAGTGATAAACTCATCTATGGATTATTTTTGGAATTGTGCAATTTTTAGGGTAAAGTGCAAGTTGACTTTAACTGGTTAGATTCCCTCTATAAATATTAGAAGAGTTCAATGTTCATCAGGATAGCCGGTCCGTAATTGTAGCAACTGCTGGTTTAATAAAAATTACGAGTCCTGAGTAGTATAAACTAAGAAAGTTTTGAGAGTTACAGAATCTTTTAGAATATTAAAGTCCATTTTAAGCTAAAGATGTTTGCTTGAGCTTGAAATAGTGGAGGAGCATGGATGCTCTTCTGCAGTAAGTCACTTGCCCACAACAGGGTATATAGCATCACATGCCACAGCCATGACATAAAACCCCTTGTCTCGTTGCTTCTGTGATTTTATCTATTGGAGCACCAAACTCATGTGCTCATAGGACCAACATTATGTCACTCGTGATATATATCAAAAGTGAAACAACAGAGGCCAGCTAAAATTCCTCTATACCTATGGGCCTGAATTTGTATCCACTAAGAATCCTCATATAGGACAATTTGTGGCTATTGTGAGGCCAGCTCTGAGTAATAAAATTAAATCTCTGTCACAAAAGTGTCCTTTCAATTGAGTTGGTTTCAGATTGGATTGTCAACATCATACTCATGGGTTGTACAGAATTATCATATTATGGATAGGCATCCAACATCACAAAGATAAATTTTAGAAGTTTTAAAGGTTCAAAGATCAAGTAGAACAATCTTACGGATTATTCTAGAATGAATCTTAATGTAGGCATACTCCTTGCTGAATACAGTATAATAAGCATGGTGCGTCTATAGTTAGGTAAATGACACTTGAATCTCCAAGAAACCTCCATTGCTTCATTGTAGGAATTTGATATTGTCCCACCCTCAGGAAGAGCCACCAATTAAATGAAGCATTTTGTTGCTCAATTTCTTAAAACATTTGAATATGCAATGACTTTACCAGGAAAAATCTTTCCATAAGTTTGTACTTCATGCAACTAGGCACAATAGGACTGGCCGATTGTTTACTTATCAGTCCCAAAAATGAACCCTTATTTTAGAATTAATTAGATTAAAAAAATAGTTTAGATTGTCTTGAACACGTCCAACTCAATGAATTCGCTAATGTGGCTTGCATATATGACAACAAACATACTATACCTAAACCTACCCATGGATACCCTTTGAGTCGGGTGCAAGTTCGGTGTTAAATAAGAGAGAAAAACTACGACATATGTCAAAAGAAAGAAGTGCAAGATTGTTCATCGCGGCACAGGGTTGCTTTGAAGTTAAGTAAAAAGGAATCAAATTTCATCAAAGTCCCACCCAAAGTCATGTTAGTTATAATAAATAACTTCAATTTCATCCAAGTAACTGAATTCTAATCAGTTATCACTGGAATTGCACAAACAAAAAACTACAAGTCCTGTCTTTTACGATTGAGTTCATATCAAACTGCGTCTTTTGAATAGTCGTGATGCAATGCATGATTTGAGGCTGAATTTTAAAGGATGCACTGAAAAAGATGCTAATTCGAGAAAACCATAAGCAATTAACGGGTTCAAGCAGGACCGGATTCGCTCGGATCAAACCCTCTCCCACAAGAACCAAAATTTGAGAAAAAGATGCCGATTTGTTAGCCAAGAAAGCGCTTTAGAAGCAAAGAAGTCCAGTACTCAACATATTAAGGTGATCGAAATGGAATGGACTGAATGCAAAGTCCTCACCTTCTACGCTCGATCCCGTCACTTTGGAACAAGTCTTCTTCCGATCACGATTGACCGCTGAAATCTTCGAAGCTTTCTCTCACATACCAAAAGAAGGCAGCGGGTGGCGTGGAGGGTAAGAAGGCAGTCGTAGGGTCGATGAGCAATCGATCCAGCGGCGGGAGAGGGCAGACTAGACAGGCGGTGGCGAGGACAGCGGCGGAGTTTAGCAGAGGCTTGTCGAATTGTCGGATCCTGTGCAATTTATTTGTAAGTCTCGTCCTGATCTGACTGTTCATATGTAAAGAACGTGGATCCGGTTGGGTGTCTCGACGGTCATGATCTGAAGTAAGAGCTTTCAACTTTAGTTGTGATTGGAGAAGATCCTTGACTCTTCCCAAACTACCCATTATCGGCCACGTGTGATGCCATGCGGGGAACGCTACCATGGGCGTTTTGCTTATCTAAATCAAAGATAACCTCTGTTCACCACTCTTCATACCCGTTTTGTGACCGGAGAATTCAGACGTCCCAGTTGCGAGGCCCGCATATTCTTCTCAACAACATGGAAATTGGGTAGGCCAACAATATGGTAATAAGCGCATTCCTCCACGTATTCTGCTCGGCGTCTCGATTGCGCCGGCGACTTAGCTCACGGCCAGGCATGAAGAAAGCCAAGCCCAGCGGTAGAACGATAATACTTTAGCAGAAGATGTTGAATAGCTTCTACATACATTAAATTTTTTGCTTTCTTCCTTGAGAAGCTCTGACATTTGCATGCCCTCCTTCCAATCTCGTACATGTCAAGCTTAATAAGCATTAAATTCTTCTGGAAATCAACTTGTTATCATTGATTGTTGCATCTCTTTTTCTTGGTTGCTATATTATGCTGACCACACGGATTTACCTCATCAACACTAATAATTTCATCAGGTTCGAAGTCTCATCGAGGGTAAAAGTAAGAAGGGAAACCGAGGAATGCCGAAAGAAGTTTAATGTATTATCTGCTTTAAAAAAATATTATCTGCTTTTTCTCATTAATAATCTACAATTTCTGTGTTTTTGAAAATCTACATGTGCTTGCATACATTTTTGCTCACGCAAAGGTAGGCGGTGTATTTCTTTTTGGTGAGGATAACAATTATGTGTAGTAATGTAATTTAGCATCAGGCTTAAGAAGATTTTTGTTGATTTCTTTTGATTTTCTAGTACATCATTGTATATTTTCCTTCAGAATAGGAAAAGAAAAACTCTAGAGTTAATAGTTTGGCTATTTTATTAAAAGCAAGAAACAGGTCACTGCAACTGCCGTAATGCTTGCAATAGATTTATTCTCTAGGGTTAATGGTTTGGTTATTTTCTTGAGATCAAGAAATAGGTCACTACGTACTGCTGTAACACTTGCAGTAGATTTATTGGTTTGGATGCCCCAGAATGCATGTTTTCTGTGCTTAGGATTAATTATTTTGACATCATCTAGCTGTCCTTTGACGTCAGCAGTCTTTTTCTTTTCCCTTTTGAAGAACATCCTTTCTCTTCATACAGCAGTTAGTGTTCATCCAAAACTTCTGGCAGATTATTATTATTATCATTAATTTCGATTTCTCTTCATAACCTGAATCTTCAGCTCACGGTCGATCTATGTTCAGTCATAGTGTTTGGATCAAGAATGACATTCAAGCTCATAGTAGTATACCTACGACGTTGAAGTCTTCTGATGGTATGGCCTTTACTTCCTAGCACATAGTGAGTGAGAGAGACTCTTGAACACTGGAATTACATTATTGAAGACCCGTACAAGGTCATCTTCGACACTTGAGATCAAGGACAAAAGAGAAACACCAGGCAAGCGATTAGAAGCCCGCAGCACGCTACAAACAATACCTTGTACGTACAAGACTGCATACTAGAAGGAGCTCAGTTTCTCCTCCAAACCGGGGGATGGCAAACTTGAGTTCATGAAGACAAGAGGCCACGTTAACACTTTTCAGCAGGTGGGGATCGGAACGCCGCAAGATTTGGCCACCTTCTTGCTGTTATCCGAGTTGATGTAGCCTTTCAAGTTGGGGTTCTGCTTGTACTGGCAAAAGCAGGGCCGCTGCTCCTTCAGCTTCGCGCAGCAACCAGCGGTGGGTGGCGCCGCGGTCAGTATGGCGCCGGCGCATGAGCTCAGCTCCACTGGGTTGCATGTCACCGACAATGCCGTCGGAGCTCGGCAGAGTAGAAGCGCAGTGATGAAGAGGACGAAGATTGAGGCCTTCATGATGACACTGGAGAACTTGCAGGCAAGTATTTGGCTGATGGAGGATTGGAGGCAAAGGGGGAAGGGAGAAGGACACTATTTATAGGCAACAATGGCATGTGGAGGAGGGGAACAAAGGTGGCAGCACTCGGAAAGAACACATAGTGGAATGATTAGGGCAATCTAGAGGAATGATATGGCCCTCTCACATGGGTCATTGTCATAGTCCTGTGGAGTCTGCACAAGAACAGTGAAGCTCTTGAATTTAGTCTTTTAGAGGACTTTTGTTGGATAGATGAAAAGATGTCATACTGCGTGAAAAGGTGCACCAGCATGGGGGACTCAATCATGGCCCTGTGCACCCTAGAAACTCTTCGCCATGCTTTACAGCTTCTGCGTATTTCCGTATCTGCATTAGATCCAGCAGCCGTGATTACGGTGTGCATCTGCTATTTGCAGAAGACCATAAGATCAGGACATTGCTTAAACACACTATCTCCACGTTGCCGTCGCAGTGAAACGGCGCTGTAGTCGGTTTAGATCGGATGTGCTGAGTGCTTTGGACGCGAGTTGCAGGACACAATTTGAGAGGACGTCGGTAGAAATGATGTGACATGATGACCTAAACGCTTCCTCCTGTGCTATGCATGTGACGTATCATTGCACCGATGGGGGAGCCCATGCCGTGGAGCAGAGGACAGCGCAGTACAGTCCAGGGTTCGGAGAGTTGCAGTGGAGGGGGTGAAACCGGTTGGCATCATTTGGGCCCCCCATCGATGGACTCTTCCCGTTGTCAATAAGAGATTCTGTAGGCAGTACCCATCAAGCAAGCAAGCTAGCCAATGTAGGTGCACCATGGAAGGAACTCTGATGTAAATCAGACAGATCTAATGCATCAGCTAAATATACAAAGAAACGATCATTCAGCTGAATCTGCTGTGGTTACAATGAACAAGAATACAAGGATGAGGGTGTACATCAATAATACAAGAAAGGAAGAATAAGAACGGAACAGAAGCAGAGGAAGGCCAACGATGGAAGCTTCGTCCCTCCTCTCTATCCTCATCTCCGAAGAAGACTCCGCTTGGAGGGCGGCAGCCACAGGAGATCGCCGGCGGCGTCGAGTTCCATGTCAATGAAGGATGAGAAGGCGTCGAGGAGGACGCGTCTCCCGCCAGGCTGCGGCGAGTGGGAGCTTGACGCAGTGCCAGAGCAGCATCAGGGAGCAGCAGACGCAGAGCGCGCAGGCTCCGGCGGCGCGCTCGCCGGCCGCACCGCGTCGGAGGAGGCGGCGGCGGATGGTGGCGGGCGTTCGTTCCCATTCCCCAATTTAGATCGAGTCAATCGAGTCAACTGCCTATATCGTTATAATATATCTGGATCTGATCCGAGTTTGGAATTGCGAACACAAGTTTGTCGCGAATGCAACCAGGATTTTCCAATCAATTTTGACCGGACTTGATTTGATTTTGACCCATTCTCATATAATTTATTGCGAAATTAACTAGTTTGTCTAAGTATTACGACATCCAAACTATATCTGTTAGCAAAAGCATACCAATACTTAAAATGCAATCTTATGTTAAACTGAAGAAAAGAAAAGAAAAAAATTAGTAATTGAACCAAAAAGTTAATAAATCAACCTAAATTATTCTATCATGTCACTAAGAAATAATACATATAATAAATTGTGATTGAGATCCCACCCAATTCCATCTAAAAGATCTCGACCTTAGGTGGTGCATTCTTATGTATCGTCTCTTTGATAGTACTGATTTAATAGTATAAATCAGTACTATTAAATGACTAGTCATAAATTAAATTATTTTGATTTAATAAACATAAACAGGGAAATGATATAAATGTTTTGATATATATTCATATTACAAGAAAAAAAAGAGGTGTGTGACGAAACATACCATAAGGTTAAAAAAATGATACTACATTGTTAATAGAAAAACTAATTTGTAGATAAATATTTTGAAATCAATTGATAAATTAGTTTCCCAATCAATATTAGATAGTATTTTGTATAACACCTCCTTTGATGGGGTGGATGTTGATAATGTAGTTTACAAAGAAATTGGATGAGGTTGAGATGGTTTTGAAAATTTGATTGGATATTGTTGTATACAAAAGATCAAGATCATAGGATTTTTGACATGATTTGTCAACAAAAAGTACGAGTGATTGATAAATAATTTTTGACCTTGATTATTATAACCTGATGTGCTTTTTATAGTAGGCTTAACTTGAAAGAATATTCTACCATATGAGTAAAATATTTATTTTTAATATTTTATATTAAATTAATGTATATATGACTCAATTATTAATCCAGATCCAATTTTTCCATGCTTATCATGGTGCCATGTGTTATATTATAATTGGGATAAATATTTTTTTCTTTCTTCCTCCGAACTTTAGTCTGAGTGAAAAAGATTAGAGTTAATGTATAATAGTTTGATGGGTAGCTAGTTTTATTAAACTGCTAAGAGAGCTCAATAGTTCAAAGGAAAGGAACTCGAAACGAAGCTTACGGAATTAAATGAAATCATAATCAAATAGAACACTAAGATATATGTGAAAAATTCTCTCAACGTGAAGGGTAAAAATCATGAGGCAAACTAGAGATAATCCACTATAAGAATAATGAATATACAAATCTCAATCTCTTACCCAAAACCCTAATAACAATCACAAGAGAATAACTGGGATACAAGGATCACGTCACTATGCACAAAATTTTAAATTCTCCTTAATTCTCCCCAAGTAATCATAGTAAGAATCAATTGTAGATTTGATCTAACCTAAAATGAGAACACTATTAGATGATTGAGAACAGTCTCTCTGCGTTATCCTTATTTTCTTCTCTTTCTTTCTCCTTGGATTTTTATCTTTTTCTTCTCCTTTTTACTACTACTAAGATATGCCCTGTTACCCTCGTTTCTGCCCTTTTATGCTTATTTTCGTAGCCACCACACCCCCTCTTAATATGAATTAGAGTTAGGTTAAGAGGAGGTGAGCTGTGGACTGATAAAGCCCACTTTAGGCTGAATATGGGTTGTCAGCCCAATAACCTCCCCCTTCAGCCCATAAGGAGGCTGTCCCAAGACTCCTCAATGTGAAGCCATGTCGACCAACTGTCGGCATATCTCCTGTCTTTCTTTTAGTAAGGTCTTTGTCAACATGTCTACTCCGTTGTCATCTATGTGAATTTTCTAAAGTTGCAATTGCTTCTCTTCAAATATATTTCGAATCCAGTGGTATTTGACACCTATATGCTTTGATTTGGAATGAAACATTAGGTTCTTACACAAATGGATGGCACTCTGGTTGTCACAATACACTATATAATTTTTTTATTTTAGCCCCAATTCTTATAAGAATTCTTTTATCCATAACATTTCTTTGCATACCTCTATAGCAGCAATATATTATGCTTTTATGGTGGAGAGAGCAATATACTTTTGTAACCTGGATTGTCATGACACAGCTCCCCCTACAAAAGTAAGTATATAACCAGAAGTGGACTTCCTCGTATCTATATCTCTTACCATATCTGCATCTATGTAACCTGTCAACACAAGTAGTCCACCTCTAAAGCTTAAACAAACCTTAGAGATCCTTCTGAGATTTCTCAAAATCCACTTTATTGCTGCCTAGTACTCTTTGTTTGGATTTGCAAGAAATCTACTAGTAACACCAATTGCATATGCGATGTCTGGCCTCGTACATACCATTGCATACATTAAACTTCCAATGGCTGAAGCATAAGGAACTTTTTATATTTTCTCCTTCTCCTTATCACTTGATGGACTCTGTTCTGGGCACAACTTGAAGTGACCTGCAATAGGAGAACCAACTGGCTTTGCATTGCTCATACTGAACATTTCCAATACCTTCTCGATATATTTCTCTTGTGACAACTTTGTCACGAAAAATCTGTATGCCTAGTATTTGCTTTGCTGGCCCCATGTACTTCATTGTAAAAGTCTCACTTAATTCCTTCTTCAACCTGTCAATTTTAGACATATCTTTCCCAAGAATAAGCATGTCATCAACATAAAGTAAGAAAATAATAAAATTCTCACCAAACCATTTGATATACACACAATGATCTGAAACTATTCTTTTGTATCCATTTTCTATCATAAATGAATCAAACTTTCTATACCACTATCTTGGAGCTTGCTTTAGCCCATATAAGCTCTTCTTTAACTTACAGACAAAGTTCTCTTTACTTTTGACTTTGAAGTATTCTGGTTGCTCTATATAAATTTTCTTCTCCAAATCACCATGAAGGAAAGCTGTCTTCACATCTAACTGCTCAACCTCCAAGTCCTAGCTAGCAACAATACCAAGAGCAACACGAATAGAAGATATTTTAACAACAAGAGAAAATATCTATTCAAAGTCAATACTTTTCTTTTGACTAAAGCCTTTCACAACCAATTTAGCTTTGTACTTTGGTTGAGAATAATATTCTTGAGTTTTCAACCTAAAAACCCACTTGTTCTTCAAGGCCTTCATTCCATTTGGTAGTAGTATCAAATCATAAGTATGGTTCTTCTAAAGAGTATCCATCTCTTCTTGCATAGCAACTAACCACTTCTCTTTCTACTCATTTTCAACTACTTCCTGGTAATTCTCTGGTTCATATGCATCAGTAATCATCACATACTCCTCTATAGAGTATCTTCTGGAAGGTTGACATTATCTAGAAGATCTTTTCAATTGAGGTTCTGCGGAAAGTTGCTCTCCAACTTTTTCTTGCTCAACATGTCCTACAGGTAGATCAACATAAGGCTCTATACCATCTTCCTGCATATCTCCCCCATCACCCTGATATACTAGAGGAGTAACTGGCTCACAATCTTGCCTTTAGAGAAATTATTTAGAAATGAGCTAAGTCTCTCATACCAAGCCCTTAGGGCTTGTTTCAATCCATAGAGAGCTTTAGTCAATTTAAACATATGATTAGGAAGATTATCATTCTCAAATTCGGGAGGTTGTTCAACATAAACTTCTTCAGAAATAAAGCCATTAAGAAAAGCACTTTTAACATCCATTTGAAATAACTTAAAATT